GAATGACGGTGGACTATTGTAAACTCAATCAGGTGATGACTCCAATTGCAGCTGTTGTTTCAGATGTGGTTTTATAGCTAATCAATATATCCCCTGGCACCTTGTATGCATATTGATCTGGTGAATGCTTTTTTCTCTAATCCTGTTCATCAAGAGTATTAGAAGTAGTTGACTTTCAGATGGCAAAGCCAGGACTTCGCCTTCAGTGTCCTACTTCAAGCATATACCTACTCTCTGGCACAAAGTAATAATCTAGTTTCAAGGGACCTTGAATGCATTTCCCTATTACACTGGCCTATTACACTGATTATATTATGCTGATTGGATCTGGTGAGCAGGAAGGAGTGACTAACCTAGATACATACATTGGCAATATACTTGCATGCCAGAGAGAGGGAAATAAATCCCACAGAAATTCAGGGGCCTTCCATTTTACTAAAATTTGTAGGAGCTTAGTGGTCTGAAGCATGTCAAGATATCTTTCCAAGGTAAAGTAAAAGTTGTTGCATTTAGCCCCTTAAGAGGGACCACTAAGAAAGGGACAGAAAGCCTAGTAGGCCTTTTCGGATTTTGGAAGTAACATACATCTTATTTGGGTGTGCTACTCTGACCTATTTACTGAGTAAACAGAAAAGCTATCAGCTTTGAGTAGGGCTCAAGACAAGAGATGACTAGCAGATCCAGACTGCTGTGTGAGTTTCTCTGCCACTCTGCCATGACCCAGCAGATATGACTGTGCTTGAAGTGTCAGCGGCAGATAGGGATGCTGTGTGAAGCCGCTGGCAAGCTGCTGTTGGTGAATCACAGTGCAGACCCTCAGGATTTTAGAGCAAAACTATGCCATCCTCTGTGTATAATAACTTCTCTTTTGAAAAACGCCTTGGAACAGAATAGAAAACCCACATAAGTATGTCCAGATGAATTTTTTTTGTAAAGGTGCGAAAACGATTCAATGGAGGAGCAACAGTATTTTCAACAAATGGTGCAGGAGTGATATACATAGACAAAAATAAAAATAAAAAATAAACCTTGACCTAAACCTCACACATTTGTCCAAAAAGTAACTAAAAATGGATCACATACTTACATGTAAAACTGGAACACTTGGGTTGCTTGCACACTTGGGGTTGCTTTCACCCAACTGTCCATTGACAGATGAATGGATAAATAAAATATGGTCTATTCACACAGTGGAGTATTATTCATAAAAGTATGGAAGTTCTGGCACATGCTATACCTGGACGACCCTTGAGAACATCATGCTAAGTGAAATCAGCCAGTCACAAAAGGATAATACCATATAACTGCACTTATGTGAGGTACCTAAAGTAGTTAAACTCATAGACACAGAAGGTAGAATGTTGGTTGCCAGGGCTGGGGGAAGAGGGGAATGAGGAGTTATTATTTAATGGGTACAGTTTTAGTTTTGAAAGATAAAAGCCTTCTGTGGATAGATGATGGTGATGGTAGCACAACAACATGAATGTACTTAATGCCACTGAACAGTACACTTAAAAATGATTAAGATGGCGATTTTTAAGTTATGTGTATTTTACACAATTTAAAAATTTCTGGCTGGGCATGGTGGCACCCAGCACTTTAGTAGGAGGCTGAGGCAGGTGGATTGCTTGAGGTCAGGCGTTTGAGACCAGCCTGGTCAACATGGTGAAACACTGTTTCTACAAAAATACAAAAATTATCTGGGAATGGTGGCACAGGCCTGTAATCCAAGCTACTCAGGAGGCTGAGGCAGGAGAATTGCTTGAACCTGGGAGGGGAGTTTGCAGTGAGCCGAGATCACGCTACTGCACTCCAACCTGAGTGACAGAGTGAGACCCTGTCTTAAAAAAATAAAAATAAAATAAAATTTCTAAATATCAAAAAATCACATACATGAATGTTCATGGCAGCTTTGTTTGAAATAGTTAATAACTAGAGACAGGCTGGCCATGGTGGCTCATGCCTGTAATTCTAGGACTTTAGGAGGCTGAGGTGGGTGGATCACTTGAGGCTAGGAATTTGAGACCAGCCTGGCCAACATGGTAAAACCCCATGTCTACTAAAAATACAAAAAATTAGCTGAGTATAGTGGCACACACCTGTAATCCCAGCTACTGGGGAGGCTGAGGCACGAGAATCACCTGAACCCAGGAGACAGAGGTTGCAGTGAGCCGAGACTGTGCCTGCCACTGCACTCCAGCCTGGGCAACAGAGCGAGATTCTGTCTTAAAAAGAAAGAAAAGTAAAAAAAAAAAGAAAGAAATAATTTGAGACAAACTAAATATCCTACAATGGGTGAATTATTAAATAAATGGTAGTACCATAGAATACTACTCAGCAAGGTAAAGGAAGAACCTATTGGTATATGGAACAACTTGGATAGACATCAAGGGTATTATGCTGAGTGAAAAAAAAAGCTAGTCTCATAAGATCATGTATTATATGATTCCATTTATGTAATGTTCTCGAAATGATAAAATTATAGAGATTAGAAATATTAGTGGTTGCCAAAGGTTAGAGATGGTGGAGGAGAGAAGAAAAGAGGGGGTGGGTTTGACTCAAAGGCAGGAGCACAAGTGATCTTGGAGATAGAACAATTCTGTAACTCAATTGTGCTGGTTACAGAAATCTACATGTGACAGAATTGCATAGAACTACACACACACACACACACACACACACACACACACACAAACGAGTGCATGTAAAACTCATAAAATCTAAATAAACTCTATGGATTGTACTATTATTAGCTTCCTGGTTTTGATGTTGTACTATAGTGATGTAAGATGTTACTACTTGGGAAAACTGAGTAAAGGATACACAGGACCTCTCTGTACTGTTTTTGCAACTTCCTATCTATTATCTTTGAATCTGTAATTATTTCAAATTTAAAAGTTAGAAACAAACAAATAAGCAATCAAAACCAAATTTGCTTTGGGCCTTAACAGAGTCTGAAGGCTTGACCATTGACCAGCAACTTATCATGCAATTTAAGTTGCTCATCATGAACTGGCTGTTGTCTGGTCACCGAGCCATAAAGTTGCGTATGTACAGCAACATTCCATCATCAAACGGAAGTGGTACATATGAAATTGAACTGCAGCAGGTTCTAAATGTGCAAGCAATTGTGTGTCTTACCCATGTCCATGGCCCCTACTATTGCTACATTATCTTCTCTCAACCCCTACCCACAGCTTCATTAGGAATTACCTATGACCAGCTGCCTAAAGAAGAAAACCCTTGGACTTGGTTTACACGTGGTTCTGCATGATCTGCAGGTATCACCTGAACATGGACAACTGCAGTGCTGCAATTCCACTCTGGGATGGCTCTGAAGGATGGCAGTGATGGGAAATCCTCCCAGTGGGAAGAAGATAAGAGTAGTGTACCTGTTTGTTCATTTTACCTGGTTAGAAGTATAGATCCATACTTTTTCATGAGCAGTGGCTAATGGCTGGATGGTCAGTACTTGAAAGGAAGATAATTAGGAAGTTGGTGACAAGGAGATCTAGGGAACAGGTATGTGAATGGACTTTGGCCCAAAATGTGAAGGTAATTAGTTCCACATGAGTGCTTATCAAAGGGTGACCTCCAAAGAGGATTTTAATGAGATGGATAGAATAACTCATTCTGTGGATGTCAGTCAGCCTCCTTATCCAGACAAATGGACTAGTGAATAAAGGGCTAGGGATGGAGGTTACACATGGGGTCAACATGACTTTCACTTGCTAGGGACAATCTAACTACAGCTCCTGATATGGCACCACTCCTGGGGTCTCAGCCAGCTATGTGGTTGAAAGTTAATTACATTGGACCATGGAAAGGGCGGCACTTTGTTCTCACTGGAATAGACACTTAGGATATGGATTTGCCATTGCTGCCCACAGTGCTTCTGCCAAAACAACTAACCTTGGACTTAATACTTTATCATTTCACACACTGTTGCCTCTGACTTAAGAACTCACTCCACAGCAAATGAAGTGTGGCAGTAGGTCCTTGCTCATGGAATTAGCTGGTCTTACCATGTTCCCAATTATCCTGAAGCAGTTGGCTTTACACATGGGTGTAATCAATCTCTTTTCTCTTAATTTGGCCAACTCAAGATGTAAAAGGTCTTTTGAAAATGGTGTGCATCAGAATAGCCTGGAGTGAAATAAATTGTCTATTTTAGCAGAGAAAATGGGACAAGAATAGAGGAAAACAACTGTGTTCCTCTTGATAATTTTTAACTCTAGCTTGTCAGTATTTTCACTCTTCTGTATGTTTGAAAATTTTTATGCTAGACTTGAAAACCAGACGCTTGTCTGAGCAGGCTACCCTCTTACAAGGCATAGTGCCCTTCCTTCTGTGTTGCAGGTGTCTGGGTCACTCGGGTAGGCGTAGATGGTATAGAGGCAATTTAAAAAAAAAAACAAAAAACAACCATGGCCCAGGGCTGAGATATGCATGTGCGACCAAACGTTAGAATCCATATGAATCCACAAGAGTGCTGATATGCAGGTCATTTAAGTGCTTAATCTAATGAAACTCAAACCTTTACTGGAGTTGGGAATGAGCACTTTCTCTACACTCCTCGTCTTATTCATCCCTTGGATCCTCATTGCACTTGGACCCTCCCTTTCCGTGCTCCTATGAATCTCGCCGGGGTCCGCAGTGCCACTTCGGGTAAGCCCACGGTCCCCCGCCAGCTGACCTCTCCGGAGCCCCTGAAAGAGCAGCCAAATTCACCTAGCCGGTTCCGTCCTCTTTCGGGCGCTAGCTTAGCCCGCCCACGCCAGACCGCTGGTCCAAGCCCCGCCCTCGGGTCCTAACGCGAGGCCCCCGCGGGGCTGTCCGCGGCGGCGCCGGGCTCCACCTGCAGTGTAGCCGGTCCGGACAGTCCTCCCCCCGGCCTGCGCTGCAGTGTAGACTCAGGCTTCGGGAATTCAGCTGCGGGCCGAGGCCCACCGTTTGATGAGGAGCAGTCGCGGTAGGCGGTGGGCAAGGCTGCCCTGGGCGCAGGCCGAGTCGCGGCTCGGGCTCCAGCATGGCGACGGCGGTGCGCGCTGCGGGCTGCCTCCCTGCGCTATGCACCCGGACGGCGGGTGAGAGCTGGGACGCCGGGAGCAGGGGCTGTCAGCGGGCGGGGAGGTGGTGGTTCGCCTGGGGCCTGCAGAAGCCTGGGCGGAGGGAAGCGAGAAGCCGTGGCCTGGTACTTCACGCCATGCTCCCACCCTATGCAGACCCGCTGTGTGACCTTGCCCGCGTCCTCTCCTTCTCTGGGTCGCGGAGCTCTTGTCTGTAAAATGAGGGGGAACTGGACGTCGTTCTCCAGGGTTCTTTCCTTCGCGAAACCGCTTGATCGTGCTTGGCGAAGAGGAGCGGGAACTGGCCAGTATCGCCTTTGGGGTGCGCGAGACCCCCTGTTTCATTTGGTAATGTCGGGGTGGGCTTGCCCTCCAGCATTACGCTCCATGATAGACTTGCATTTTCTGTTTGCGCAATGTATATATATATATATTTTAGACAGTCTCGCTTTGTCGCCAGGCGCCAGGCTGGAGTGCCGTGGCGCCATCTCGGCTCACTGCAACCTGCGCCTCCCGCGCGCCCAAGCAATTCTCCTGCCTCAGCTTCCCAAGTAGCTGGGACTACAGGCGCGTGCCACCACGCCTAGGTAATTTTTGTATTTTTGAGTAGAGACGGGGTTTCACCGTGTTGGCCAGGATGGTCTCAATCTCTTTTTTT